CTCAGTTAGTAAACGGGTAGGTGGACAGGTAAGTAAGTAAAGTAAAGATCCCTTTACACGCCTTTAGGCGCATCGGGCATACGGGAAGAGCACCCATATTTTTACAGACCAATCGGCACTCGGTGGGTAATGTGGTCAGCATTACGCCGGCCGTCTTTAAGGACAGGCCATCCTGGTACCCATTTGAGGCTGGGTCGACCTGCGACGTCCCATACCACGATAAAAATCCACGCAGCCCACGCAGGTTTCGATCGCGGTACGTTGGATTACGAGTCAGACTCGCAACGCCTTAGCCACGGACGCCGCTTGGGTGGACAGGTGGGCAGACAGACAGACAGACAGACAGACAAGCAGACAGACAGACAGACAGACAGACAGACAGACAGACAGACAGTGAGATCCAGACACAAAATCCTTACAGATTCTTATTGGTGTCCCTTTGATAGACCCGACAAGGCAGAGCGTTCTCCTCGCACTGACCGTCTTCCCGAGGCAACCGATAGATGACGTATGGAAGCTCATTTAGAGTGGCCACCCTCAGAAAAGCTCGTTTAGGTTTGCCTGTAGGTGGTATTGAAGACTCACCCGGCCAGGTGATGTCCCTCATGATCAGTCCTCGACCAACCCATCGGCCCACCTAGGGAAGACATGGGTATGTTCTTTATGAGAGATTTACCCCAGGGAAGAGAGAGACGTCACCTATTTTCATCTCCTAACTCTGGACACACACACACACACACACACACACACACAAAAGTAAAAAGTAAAAGACCCTTTTCCACGCCTTTAGGCGTATAAGGCATATAGGGCTAGACCTATATTTTTATAGACCAATCGGCACAAGATGGGTGATGTGGTCAGCATCACACCGGCCGCCTTTACTTTCCCGGAACTGCATCCGGTACCCACTCAAGGCTGGGTCGACCTGGGAGCCAAGGTCATTTTTGAAAAAAAGTCCGGCTCCGCCATGGGGCGAACCCACGACCTTCCGATCCGCGACGAGCGTCTAGCCGTTCGGCCATGGCGACTTCTGGACATATAACTGAATGTATTATGTGAATGACTTACTACACGAAAGACCCTGGAATATTGTGCATTGAATTATCGCGAGGATGCAATGGAGTGTGGTTTGTGAATTAATTTCCTAGGGAAAACAATGGAACCTTGATCTAAATGAATTACTGGGAAAGACGATGGTGTATTGTCTGTGAAGGATTTATCCTGGGAAAGCTGTAATCAAGACGTATTTTAAATCATTAATCCAGGGAAGACAATGGACTGCTGCATCAGATGAAAATACCACGGGGGAAACATAATAATAATGTAAATGAATTGCTGTGGTGAAGACATTGGAATATTGTATTGTAATGATTTACCACAGAGAAGACAAAGGAATCTTGCATTATAATGATTTACCACAGGGAAGCCAGTGGAATCTTGTATCAGGATGATTTACCACAGAGAAGACAATGGAATCTTGTATCATGATGATTTACCACAGAGAAAACAATGGAATCTTGTATCAGGATGATTTACCACAGAGAAGACAATGGAATCTTGTATCATGATGATTTACCACAGAGAAAACAATGGAATCTTGTATCATGATGATTTACCACAGAGAAGACAATGGAATCTTGTATCATGATGATTTACCACAGAGAAGACAATGGAATCTTGTATCAGGAGGATGCGCAATAGGGAAGACAATGTAATCTATCAGGGTGATGTGTAATAGGGAAGACAAAGTGATCTATCAGGGTGATGTGCAATAAGGAAGACAATGTAATCTATCAGGGTGATGTGCATCGGGAAGACAATGGAATCTTGTATCAGGGTGATGTGCAATAGGGAAGACAATAAAATCTTGTATCATGATGATTTACCGCCAGGAATACGTAAACAGTCTCTATTTCAACAAATGACCACATTGAAGGCAATGGAATGTCCTATCAGAATGACGTACAATAGAAAAGATATAAACATGCCCTATTTCAATGAATTACCACGAGGAAAATACGATGATGGAGTTGAACGAATAAAATTAGGAAAGATAAGAGAATGTGGCATCGGAATAGCTTACCACACGGAAGTACATGACGGTACTAACATAGCATGAACAGCGTATATATGAGTGAAGAACCGTGTGGAAGATTGAGCCCGATGTGGCTGCATGAATTACCGTTTTAAGGCGTTTTATGTGCGAACGACAATCGCATGTCAATGAGTAAACTACTCTGCAAACAGAACAACAGGTCAGAGATGGCTCATTCAGACAGACAGACAGACAGACAGACAGACAGACAGACAGACAGACAGACAGACAGACAGACAGACAGACAGACAGACAGACAGACAGACAGACAGACAGACAGACAGACAGACAGACAGACAGACAGACAGACAGACAGACAGACAGACAGACAGACAGGCAGGCAGGCAGGCAGGCAGGCAGGCAGGCAGGCAGGCAGGCAGGCAGGCAGGCAGGCAGGCAGGCAGGCAGGCAGACAGACAGACAGACAGACAGACAGACAGACAGACAGACAGACAGACAGACAGACAGACAGACAGACAGACAGACAGACAGACAGACAGACAGACAGACAGACAGACAGATAGATAGATAGATAGATAGATAGATAGATAGATAGATAGATAGATAGATAGATAGATAGATAGATAGATAGATAGATAGATAGATAGATAGATAGATAGATAGATAGATAGATAGATAGTAAATAGGCAGGCAGGCCGGCAGACAGACAGATAGACAGAAGAACGCCAGCAGCTAAGCAAGACCTGAGAGTCCCTAGATCCCCCTGCAAATGATCAGTCTAGATAATGAAAGACCCACCTCGACCCACTCTGTCTTCTCTCGTTGACTGTCGTGCCACTGCAGGTTCACCACGAGAAGCTCGGTGTTCTTGAGGGTTCCATTCTCGTTAAACTCCACGTGGGGCTCGTCTCGGAGACTACTGTTCAGCAGATATCTGAGGAAATATGGTTATGACCTGTGTGGCTGCGTGACTGTCGGATAATACACAGCAGATATTAACCGTGAGGTTATGACATGTGTTGCTGTGTAACTGTCAAACAGTACACTGTAGACACTAATCATGAGGTGAAGACCTGTATGGCTGTGTGACTGACTGAGAGTACACTGTAGACACTAACCATGAAGTTATGACCTGTCTGGGTGTGTGACTGACTGATAGTGCACTGTAGACATTATTCATGTGGTTATAGAAACATCACTTAACAATACAAATGGCAGTCCTCCTCCTCCTTCTTCTCCTTCCTTTTTCTTCTACTTCTTCTTCCTTTTCTTCTACTTCTCCTTCCTTTTTCTTCTACTTCTCCTTCCTTTTTCTTCTACTTCTTCTTCCTTTTTCTTCTACTTCTTCTTCCTTTTTCTTCTACTTCTACTTCTTCTTCCTTTTTCTTCTACTTCTCCTTCCTTTTTCTTCTACTTCTCCTTCCTTTTTCTTCTACTTCTTCTTCCTTTTTCTTCTACTTCTCCTTCCTTTTTCTTCTACTTCTTCTTCATTTTTCTTCTACTTCTCCTTCCTTTTTCTTCTACTTCTTCTTCCTTTTTCTTCTACTTCTTCTTCCTTTTTCTTCTACTTCTTCTTCATTTTTCTTCTACTTCTCCTTCCTTTTTCTTCTACTTCTTCTTCCTTTTCTGCTGCTGCTGCTGCCTACTTCGCGTGAAACCCTCTCAATTAGTCGGCTTTTATGACATGTTTGTAGAGGTGGGGGGTTGGTCTATCCTACGTTCACTAACAACGGTACCCCGAAACTTCTCAACAGTATGCATACTCCGATACACTAGAGTTAAGACTTGATAAAAAGAACTCCCCGGGGACTCAATAGACAGTTCTTCTCATCAGAAATTCCTCTTCTGTAGCTAAGAATTCAAGCAAGAAAAAAAAAATTATGGCGATAAACAAACTATTCTTCGAAATTCATCAAAGATCATCTGAAGCGGTGTGTACTTTATTCATCAGGTCAGACTCGAATACGCCGTGGTGGAGGTGTGGTGGCGTGATGGACATGTGGTCGCGTGGTGGACGTGTAGTCGCGTGGTCGCGTGGTGGACTTGCTGTGGCGTGATGGACGTGCGGTGGCGTGGTGGACATTCGGTGGCGTGGTGGACGTGCGGTGGCGTGGTGGACGTGCGGTGGCGTGGTAAACGTGCGGCGGCGTGGTGGGCGCGCGGCGGCGTGGTGGAAGTGTGGTGTACGTGTGGTGGACGTGTGGTGGCGTGGTAGACGTGTGGTGGCGTGGTGGAGGTGTGGTGGCATGGTGGAAGTGTGGTTAAATGGTGGACGTGTGGTGGCGTGGTGGACGTGTGGTGCCGTGGTAGACGTGTGGTGCCGTGGTGGACGTGTGGTGACGTGGTGGACGTGCGGCGGAGTGGTGGACGTGGTGGACGTGTGGTGGCGTGGTGGAGGTGTAGTGGCATGGTGGAAGTGTGGTTAAATGGTGGACGTGTGGTGGCATAATGGACGTGTGGTGGACGTGTGGTGCCGTGGTGGACGTGTGGTGCCGTGGTGGACGTGTGGTGCCGTGGTGAACGTGTGGTGGACGTGTGGTCGCGTGATGGACGTGTGGTGGCGTACGTGTAATGGCGTGGTGGACGTGTGGTGACGTGGTGAATGTGTGGTCGCGTGGTAGACGTCTGGTGGCGTACGTGTGATGGCGTGGTGGACGTGCGGTGGCGTGGTGGACGTGCGGTGGCAGAGTGGACGTGCGGTGGCGGGATGGACATGTGGTGCCGTGGTGGACGTGTGGTGGACGTGTCGTCGCGTGGTAGACGTGTGGTGGCGTACGTGTAATGGCGTGGTGGGCGTGTGGTGGAAGTGCGGTGGCGTGGTGGACGTGCGGTGGCGTGGTGGACGTGCGGTGGCGGGGTGGACGTGCGGTGGCGGGGTGGACGTGCAGTGGCGTGGTGGACGTGTGGTGGCGTGGCGGAGGTGTGGTGGACGTGTGGTGACGTGGTGGACGTGTGGTGGCATGGTTTACGTGTCGTCGCGTGATGTACGTGTGGTCGCGTGGTGGACGTGCGTTGGCGTCCACGACGTGGGGGTGGCGCGGTGGACGTGCGGCGGCGTGGCGGACGTGTAGTGGCGTGGTGGTCGTGTGGTGGCGTGGTGGACGTGTGGTGGCGTGCAACAAAACTTACTTTGGCTACAAGTTGGCCCAACCTGAAATGTGAAGCTGGTAATGTTCAGGGAAGTCAAAGTGGCCGACGTCATGCTGACCACCTCATCCATCCAGCAATCAGTAGTTTATAAATAACAGTGTAGCATCATAGGCCCTAAGCTCTTAATGCGTTAGAAATGCCGTTTCACTGTGTGTTGCAGGTTCATCTAACTTTGCAGATCATACACATCAACAATTCACTTAAACCCCGCCCTTCACACATCCGCATAGTTGACACTTCCTATAGTTGACACTTCCTATAGTTGACACTTCCTATAGTTGACACTTCCTATAGTTGACACTTCCTATAGTTGACACTTTCTATAGTTGACACTTCCTATAGTTGACACTTCCTATAGTTGACACTTCCTATAGTTGACACTTTCCATAATTGACACTTCCTATAGTTGACACTTTCTATAGTTGACACTTCCTATAGTTGAAACTTCCCATAGTTGACACTTCTTATAGTTGACACTTCCCATAGTTGACACTTCCCATAGTTGACACTTCCCATAGTTGACACTTCCCATAGTTGACACTTCCCATAGTTGACACTTCCCATAGTTAACACTTTCTATAGTTGACACTTTCTATAGTTGACACTTTCTATAGTTGACACTTCCTTTAGTTGACACTTCCTTTAGTTGACACTTCCCATAGTTCACACTTTCTATAGTTGACACTTCCCATAGTTGACACCCCCCATAGCTCCCACTTCCCATAGTTCCCACTTCCCATAGTTGACACTTCCCATAGTTGACACTTCCCATAGTTGACACTTCCCATAGTTGACACTTCCCATAGTTGACACTTCCCATAGTTTATACTTCCCATAGTTGACACTTCCCATAGTTCACACTTCCCATAGTTCACACTTCCCATAGTTACACTTCCCATAGTTCACACTTCCCATAGTTCACACTTCCCATAGTTACACTTCCCATAGTTCACACTTCCCATAGTTCACACTACACATAGCTGACACTTATCCCACACCTCCTAAAACAGGGCCTTTAAATGACTTTACTCAGAAGCCAAAATTTTGGGAAAAGGGGATCGTCGCGACCCAATAATACAGTACAATTGACCGGCAACCCACTGGCCACTTACTAGGCCTTCGCAAGCCAAATGTGACACGCGGGCCGCCAGTTGAATAGTTTTGTCCTATAATCACACAGTTCACAAATTCCTACAGTTCATAAAATTTCATAGTTATCAGACATCAACAAAACCCACCTGTAGATCAACTCGCCCTCCCTCCAGTAGGGCTCTCCCGTCGACTCACACGTGAACTGTGGAAGTATGTTTCTGCTGGTCAGTTGTCCAGCCTTACTGAACAAGTCCAGCATAGCCTGGAGCCACGTCTTGACCCCTGCCCGGACAGCTCGCTTCATGGCGTCCAGGTCATACTCAAAGCTAATCCCTGAAAGGCAAACATTACTTCGCTTTAACTCACAGCCAAGTCATCATTTCTCAAGTTCTTGGCTTTTCAAATTCTATGCTTCTTACATTCTAAGCTTCTTAAATTATGTGCGTCTCAAATTCGTGGCTACTAAAATTCTTGACTTTTAAAATTCTTGGCTACTAAGTCTTTTCTTCTAAGATCCGTGGCTTCTCAAATGATATGCTAAAGTTCCCTATCAGTAACAAGTGCTATAGAGATTAGTGTGTGCGATCACACTTGTTCAACATGGACCAGAAGTAGAAAAACAATTATTTATAGGGGGATTAGAACATTCTATAAGATGTGCAAATTATCATTACTGTTTGTTGCGTCTCTGATGTGGACTGTGTTATCTGTATATCTTACTCCAAAAGAATAACTTACTGAGCCTCCTTACGTGTTGTTGCAAACTGTGTAATGTACCCATAAGTCAGAAATATGGCTACACGTTTTACTGTATAGATCTTGAATCCCTTTACTGTGTTATGGCTAGGAAAATACCACCACCATAAAAGCATTTCTTCAAACTAACAAGACACATACATAACAATTCATGTAAATGCCTCAGACTTCTCGCTGTTCGCGGCATTGCTTTATTGACAACGCTATGGAAATTCACGCAATGCTTTCAGATACATCCGGACTGAATCACATAGCCGTTATTTCCGATTTACACATGTACATGATAAGACACCAAAAAATATCATCTAGAATAAACTTATGCGACACAGATTATGGTTAGAATAATCAACAGAGGAAAGTGAAAAGAGGCACACAAACATAGCCCAACATTTCCACCTGTCCTCCTAATTGACGTCCGAAAACAACAGAATCATAAACAACCAGGAAGATAACACAGAGCCTGAAATACGAAGTATGGAAACATAGAGAGGAAGAGCTATCGAAACACAAAAGAACAGACATGAAAAGAAGGAGGCTGAAAAAAAGGGGGAAAAAATAAATAAAAATATACTGAACGTTGATACCTACACTGCTGAGTTCGTTGAAATTATGAATAAAGCAAAGACGGGTGGTTTGATCAGCGGAGCAAGATTTTATGAAAGTGACAGAGATGTCAATTTATCCTTGCTGGTCACAACTATTAGAATGGAGGGAGGCTAGCTTAAGCACTGTGAATATCTACATTGTATAACAGAAAGGATTTGCTAGGTTCACCAACTTTAACTAGAGCTAAACAAGTATCCAAAAGCTCAGTATACTATTTTTTTTTTCCTGGTTTAAAATAAGTATAGGAAAACACTACTTTGAATGTTGTCATATTCTCAAGAGTTGCATGGAGTTCCTTAAGTTTGATTGTTGGTTTGCTACAGAAGATGAGACTTCTGAAGTCGTATGGGTTGGAAACAATTAGGGGCAGGCTGGAGGAGAAACAGAGAGATACTTTCCACATACAGACACACATACAACCATTTAGTTACGTACTTCGTTTTCATTTTAATTGTTACTGTAATGTGCACCTGACGAGTTACAGCAAAATATGTCAGGCAATAAATAATAGTTAGTTAGTTAGTTAGTTAGTTGGTTAGTTGGTTAGTTGGTTAGTTAGTTAGTTAGTTAGTTAGTTAGTTAGTTAGTTAGTTAGTTAGTTAGTTAGTTAGTTAGTTAGTTAGTTAGTTAGTTAGTTAGTTAGTTAGTTAGTTAGTTAGTTAGTTAGTTAGTTAGTTAGTTAGTTAGTTAGTTAGTTAGTTAGTTAGTTAGTTAGTTATTTAGTTATTTAGTTAGTTAGTTAGTTAGTTAGTTAGTTATTTAGTTATTTAGTTAGTTAGTTGGTTAGTTAGTTAGTTAGTTATTTAGTTATTTAGTTAGTTAGTTGGTTAGTTAGTTAGTTAGTTAGTTAGTTAGTTAGTTAGTTAGTTAGTTAGTTATTTAGTTATTTAGTTAGTTAGTTAGTTAGTTAGTTAGTTAGTTAGTTAGTTAGTTAGTTAGTTAGTTAGTTAGTTAGTTAGTTAGTTATTTAGTTAGTTAGTTAGTTAGTTAGTTAGTTAGTTAGTTAGTTATTTAGTTATTTAGTTGGTTAGTTGGTTAGTTGGTTAGTTAGTTAGTTAGTTAGTTAGTTAGTTAGTTAGTTAGTTAGTTATTTAGTTATTTAGTTGGTTAGTTGGTTAGTTAGTTAGTTAGTTAGTTAGTTAGTTAGTTAGTTAGTTAGTTAGTTAGTTAGTTAGTTAGTTAGTTAGTTATTTAGTTATTTAGTTAGTTAGTTAGTTAGTTAGTTAGTTATTTAGTTAGTTAGTTAGTTAGTTAGTTAGTTAGTTAGTTAGTTAGTTAGTTAGTTAGTTAGTTAGTTAGTTAGTTAGTTAGTTAGTCTTTCCTCTTCAGCCAAAGGCAGCGCATATCTGGCGGTTCGTTGCCATCTCATTTAGGTCATGGATATTCATAATGCAATAAATAATGCAATCTATTATTTGTCCCTTTTTTGTTCAAATTCACGAGAAGCAAAGATTGTTTAGACGGGTCTTACTTCAAGAAGAAGAAAACACTGTTGAGACATGTCTTACTTCAAGCAGAAGAAAACATTGTTTAGACAGATCTTACTTCAAGGAGAAGAAAACATTGTTTAGACATGTCTTACTTCAAGGAGAAGAAAACATTGTTAGACATGTCTTACTTCAAGGAGAAGAAAACATTGTTTAGACATGTCTTACTTCAAGGAGAAGAAAACATTGTTTAGACATGTCTTACTTCAAGGAGAAGAAAACATTGTTTAGACATGTCTTACTTCAAGGAGAAGAAAACATTGTGTAGACAGGTCTTACCAATGTAGTAGCAATGTTTTCTTCTCCTTGAAGTAAGACCACCTGCCTAAACAATGTTTCAAGTCTTATTTCGAGGAGAAGAAAACATTGTTTAGACAGGTCTTACTTCAAGGAACAAGTTATTCGAGAGGAGTGAACTAAAGCATCATCTGACTTGTACCGAAAGAGTTCAGTAAAGAAAATAGAGAAAATCTGTCTGGTTTCCAACGGCACAAAACCTCACATATCGCGGTGTTAGTTAAAGCAATCACTCATAAGTACTGAGAGAGGTATCATACACACTTACACTAAACAAGGTAATTAATCATCTGCTCGGAGAATACAGAAATAAAGTCACCACCTCTTTATTTCATCAGCCGACGTGCGAACAAGCCTCTTGTGTTCCCATGCTCCATTCTTTTTAATCAAGCAATTCTGCGCTATTCGGGAAAGGGAGTCAATCTTATAAAATATTGCCTATACCCTTGCGATTTTAAAAAGAAGCCATCAATCGTCCGTTCTATTTTCTCTGGCAACACTCGATTGTGCTTCCCGTATCGCTCCATCACTTTCCTGAATATTCTTTCGCTTACTTAAAGGTATGATTCTGTCTCCGTATATAAATATAAACATATCGCTGTCTTTCTTGTTATTTCATTGTCGGTGATTTGTGCCTTCTGTACTCTATGAATTTTTTTGTTTTGTTTAGTATCAAGAAACCATGAGTTGTAAACCCTTTGGTTCAGTAATATGGATATGGAAACCCTTCAGCCTTGATTCCATGATAGATACCGTAAATCTGGGAGAAATCGGGTTTTTCTGCCTAACCCCGGGCGTGAACCCAGACCACAAGGAGTTCGTCACCCGGTCGCCGCGCATAGGTTTTAACCAACTGGGCTAGCGAGCCGGGCTAAAATTAATTTAAATTTTAAAACAAGCTCCAGTTCTAAAAGGGTCATATCTGTCTATCTTTACGTACATACGTGACAAGACAGATGTTGGGAACAAGCAACGAGTCAGAAGCGAAACAAGATATGGCCTGGAGAGAATGAGGCACCTGAGTGTAACCAGGAGGCGGGGGGGGGGGGAAGGGGAGGGGGGGTTGGCCGGCTAACTACACTCATGCGAAAGGCAAGACGGACATATAACCAGATTACAATGAGTACTATTAGTAGTGGAAGTCTGCGTTGGCTGCTGTTGACGAGGTCGGAGCAGGCATGGGAATGCCCCGAGTGCTGTGATCAACTCATCTTTACGTGCCTCTGTCTGCATGCGTGTATGCGTATAATTGTTTCATTCCTTCCTTCCTTCCTTCCTTCCTTCCTTCCTTCCTTCCTTCCTTCCTTCCTTCCTTTCTTTCTTTCTTTCTTTCTTTCTTTCTTTCTTTCTTTCTTTCTTTCTTTCTTTCTTTCTTTCTTTCTTTCTTTCTTTCTTTCTTTCTTCCTTCCTTCCGTTCTCCTACAGATCTTAGCACCTTAAAATTACAAAATCGGAATCTGGATGGCAAATCGAGAGATCAAATCTAAGATATTTCGTTCAACTTCTGAAGAAGTTATAATTGGTATCTGTAATGCCTACAACAGTCTGCGTGCCGGAGTGTCTGTCTGTCATTCTGTCATTCTGTCATTCTGTCTCTCTGTCCGTTTTTAGGTTTGTTTGTCTGTCTGTCTATTTATCCTGCGTATGACTGATGACTGTCTCATTATTCTCCATCCTCTCACTTTAATTTGATCGTCCTTATTTCTTCTTTACTTTAATCTTTCACTGAGCATGTTTTCTTTGCTCCAGGTTGCAATTGTTTATCACCGGCCTCTACATTTATCTACCAACTCCACTTAACGCGTACTGATCATCACCAGTCTCATTTTAATGCCAATGCGATTATTCTTTGCATCATTCTTCTTCGCTGTTTTTTTTATTAATTCTTTTTAATTTCGTTCAATCTTTACTTTATTCTGTATATTAATTAATTCATTCATTCATCTATCCACCTCTGCTCAGCCATCCATCTGTCAAATCCTATCCAGGTATCCATCCTTTCAAACATCCTCTCATCCACGCATCCATCAATCGACCCATCCATTCATCCATACGTCCGTTCGTCTGTCTTATTTCTTCCTCTCTCTCTCTCTCTCTCTCTCTCTCTCTCTCTCTCTGTGTGTGTGTGTGTGTGTGTGTGTGTGTGTGTGTGTGTGTTTGAGTGTGTTATCCTTCTTTATTCAAACTTTTGATTTTTACTTTCATTTATAGCCGAATTATCAAACACGTCTTTATTTTATTCAAGCTGTCAATCAACCTTTCCTATTTTTATTTCTCCTGAAACCGCGTCCCTGATTTCTATAATGTTTTCTTTAACTCTTTCCCTCTTTCTTTCTATAAAAAAAAAATTCTTGTAGGCTGTTTTTCTATCGGGGTTTTTTTTTTTCTTTTAAACAAACTTCTCCCCCTCCCTTTCTCTTTCTCTCTGCACATCAGCTCCTTATTCAACACACTCCCAGCCCAAAACATGCCCAAATAAATAACGCATTTCCCCTGGATATCAGTCAAGTCAACGTGGATGCAACAATTGATGTCGGGTGTAAAAACACGCAGAGAGAACACGAATGAGCTCTTAGGAAGAGTTTTAGATGCTAGTGGGTTCACAAATCTGAAGCACGGACAGTCTCAAGAGAGAATTAAGTCACACACCAAGAACGGCTGGTCGAGTGGGCATGACTTTGGGCTCTCACTGGAGAGGCATGGGCTAGAACCCTCGGTAATGTCACAGAGAATTGCACACACTGCAGAGGAAGTTGCAAACCCCGGCATGATTTAGCTGTTCGTGGCTTTAGTGGGCAGTCTTACGTTCAGTAGTTTGCCACGAGAACTAAACAAATTCCAGGGAAGCAAGAGGCGAAGAAAAGACGCTGACGGTGGATGAGACGCACTTTGAGAAAATCAGAGAACAGTATAATCAGAATGTCTTTGCACTGGAATCCACAGGGATAAAGAAATAAAGGCAGACCGAAAACACAAGAAGAAGAGAGCTAGAAAGCGAAGTTTAAAAAAAAGGGATAGGCATGACCTGAAGTGAACTGTGTGCAATAGCACGATAGCAAAAAACATGATGACGTGAGTTCATTTGGAGCATATACTCCACTGGCGGATAACGAGCAGAAATAGCAGAAGTTAGCCATGAATATTTTTCTCCCGGGAGAAAGTAAATAAAGTGGCATATATATATATAAAGTAAATATTCGTATATCGGGTATACAGGGCTATACCTTTCATTTAAATACCAATCGGCAATAGGCGGATGATGACCTGACGTTCCCTGACTTTATGTTTACCTATTTAAGGCTAGACCGACCAAGGAACCAGGGCCATTTAAAAAAGACAAGGTCTGCTCCGTCAGGACTTGAACTCAGGACCTTTGGATTAGCAGGCGAGCGTCTAGCCGCTACACCACGGCGGCTTCCAGATTGCCCAACACAGAAAGTAAAAGCAAAGGGCCTTTTCCCACCGAGTTTTGCATCGTGCATGTTAAAATTGTCCATGATATACCCTGATACTTAACTGTCCATGATATTCCCTGATACTTTACTGTCCATGATATTCAGTGATACTTTACTGTCCATGATATTCACTTATACTTTATTGTCCATGATATTCAATGATACTTTACTGTCCATGATATTCACTAATACTTTATTGTCCATGATATTCACTGATACTTTACTGTCCATGATATCCACTGATACTTTACTGTCCATGATATTCACTGATACTTTACTGTCCATGATATTCACTGATACTTTATTGTCCATGATATTCACTAATACTTTATTGTCCATGATATCCATTGATACTTTACTGTCCATGATATCCACTGATACTTTATTGTCCATGATATTCACTGATATTTTACTGTCCATGATATTCACTGATACTTTACTGCCCATGATATTCACTGATATTTTACTGTCCATGATATCCAATGATACTTTACTGTCCATTCTTCTTCTTTCGTTCGCCGGAAATAAGTTGTCTATATCTGCAATTATGTCTCTTGTATAAATTTCACTGTTGTTAATTCATTCAGTGGTCCATAGAGTTTACGTTCCACTGCTGTTCTTTCTGGTCAAAAGGTTTGATTTAACGTGTCAAATTCGGTGCAGTCCTGGAGTACATGCTCTGCTGACTGAGGCACCTTTCCACAGGTGCACATTGCTGATACGCCTATCTTGAATTTTGTGTACATGTGGTTACATAATCGGTTGTGCCCTGTTCTGAGGATAATGACTTGTTCTGATCTGTCCATAATAAAATAGTCGTCTTGTGCTGGGGCTGGTGGTTTCCTGATTGATACTTTATCGTCTATGATATTCACTAATACTTTATCGTCTATGATATTCACTAATACTTTATCGTCTATGATATTCACTAATACTTTATCGTCTATGATATTCACTAATACTTTATCGTCTATGATATTCACTAATACTTTATCGTCTATGATATTCACTAATACTTTATCGTCTATGATATTCACTAATACTTTATCGTCTATGATATTCACTAATACTTTATCGTCTATGATATTCACTAATACTTTATTAGGCAGGGGCTACTTTTTGTATTCCTTTAAAATTGTGCAAATTTTGAGTTCTGCCTTATACATGTTATACCCGCCACATAGGTCGACCCTTTGTTTTAAAAAGCTTTGTCACGACTGAGGTTGGAACAGGACAGATAGCGTCTCTGTTGTTAGCACACAGTTGACAGTCTTGGAGCACATGCTCAGCAGTCTCGGGTGACAAGTTGCAGGGGCACATCTCCGTGTTTCCTACACCGAAAAGTTTAAACACAGGCTGGCGAAGTCTGTTGTACCCTGGGTTTAGTCTGAATATAACACACTGCCCTTCTCTAGAGAGGCGATAACGCGAGTCTTGAGGAGAAAATGTAATGTGTGTATCCAGCGAACTTTCTTGAATACTCAACGTTATGATGTAGCAGGTTTTTTGCAGAACGCCGCTCTCAATGCGGTCTGCCTGAAACAAACTCTGTCCCTCGCCAGCTCTTCTGCCTCGTATTTTCAAATCCAAGGAATCATTAGTATTCTGTGTCCATGGTAACATGTCTTCTGCTACTACTTTGTCCAATCCGCCATGATGCTTGATGTGACCAAAATATTTCAGCTTCCGAGACCAGATACTACAATGGATACAACATTGTGATTAGTGATAAGAAAGGATTATCTTCACAGCACTCCGGACAGATCCATAGGTGCTTCGATCTCCTCCTCAGAAGCTCCACAAGTGTAAAACGACTGATGACGCCTGTTCTGTGTTGGTTAATGAAACATCTTGTCCTCTTAGTGAAATATTCATTTCAATACTACATTGTAATAATATCTATGTATTAATATTGTATTAATACAATACACTACAATACAATACTACACTGTATCAATATCTATCAGGTGATTAACGGTCGAATAAATCCAGAACACACTCAGAGATACAAAGCAAGCACTTACCGAGTAGACCTACAGGAAAACTGTCTGTTCCAAATTTGCCTATGGGTATCGATGACCTGGTGAGAATCCACACGTAGTCCTTGCCCGTAAGGCCGAGTTTTGAGGCCGTTTCTATAATGTCGTATGAGGCTCGGCTGGACAGAAAATGGGAAAGTTCAGTTATGCGAAATGTATGAAATACCCGCCAGGAGAATGAAACAAGAAAATGATAAAGTGGGCGGGTGGTAGTTGAAGAAAAAAGTAGTGTTAGTGTAAAAATATTAGTAGCATGTGCTGCTGTTGAGGCAACAGTAGTAGTTATAATAATAAGAGCGGGTATGGTGGTAGTATTGTTGGCAGTGATGATAGCAGTGGAAGTTGTTGGTTTAGAAACAACAGTAGAAGCAGTCAAGGTAACAGCCGAAAAAGTAGTAGTAGTAACAGTAGGAGCAGCAGTAGCAGGAGCAGCAGTAGTAACAGCAGCATCAGTAGCAGCAGCAGCAGTAGTAGCAGCAGCAGCAGTGGCAGCAGTGGTAAGGTTGTGCAAAATATTATCAAGGAATTTAGTAACCATAAAAATCCAGTTATAATGTTTTCCATTATTACCGTCAAAGTATCTTGCCGATAGGCGTTGGGTGATTATATATCTCTGCAATATGAGGTTTCCTAAATCATGTATCACTTCGTGCGCTGACACATCTCCGTGCATTGACAAAACGCTGTCAAGAATGTTCTCGCGAAATGTTCCGGTATCTCTCTTTTGAGAAATCTACCCTATGACCAAAAAAAATGTATCAGTTTCCCTCTTCTTATAATTTGGCCAAAGTGGCTACATGGAGAGCCAAATTTTTAGTAGGATCGGACCAAACGAAGAAACTAAGAGCACACATTGTGCGATGTGTTGGATACAAGGCGAAGTGCCAAGCAAACATTGTGCGATGTGTTGGATACAAGGCGAAGTGCCAAGCAAACATTGTGCGATGTGTTGGATACAAGGCGAAGTGCCAAGCAAACATTGTGCGATGTGTTGGATACAAGGCGAAGTGCCAAGCAAACATAGATCACGCCTTGTCTACCACTGAGAGAGCTGAGCGTGAGAGAGCTGAGCATCTCAAGTAATAATGTAAGTAGCAACAACTTACTGGAAACATCAGTGGAAAGATCGATCGGGTTGTCCAGTCCAGGCTGCCAGCTAAGGGTTTACCAAACCTTACTGAGACTAGAACAATCTCAATCCGGACGGCAGACCAACAGGGAATGTCCTAGACACCCCGTTCAACTTTCAGAGAAGTTATCAGCCACACCAGCCAGCTGCTAAGATGCAGTCCTGTGTGGGTAAGGACGTTAGGGAAAAGAGAGAAAGAGAGATTCAATTTCTGTTCCAGTCCAGACTCCTGTAGAAAACTAGGACAATCGCTTGACCAGAACTACACCGAAGTTTTATATATATATATATATATATATATATATATATATATATATATATATATATATATATATATATATATATATATATATATATATATATATGAAACCACCTAAAAAGAATCTACCTGCGGTACTCAAATTTTAAAACAAAGACCCACACGACCCACCTGCTGGAGTGAAGAAGAAACACTCTGGTGTCTGTGCCGACAAGTTTCTCCAACATGGGTCTAACATCGTCCAGATGCCTGATGTGAAGTGTGGACAGAATCTCCAAGCTAAGGATGTCACAGAGGGTTCGTGTTAACGTATAACAATAGCAGGGACATCGTCTCGGCTTTATAACAACTTGTAACAACAGTCACAAAAAACTCTGGATTCATGTCAACTTGTAAAAACAGACACAACACGGGACGTGTTTCGACTTTCAGCAGCAGATACACCACACGGGGCTTATGGCAATCGTAACAACATCAAAGATGTGATACTGGATTTCTGTCAACTTGAAACAACGAGATGTCACATGGGGTTCACATAAACTTGCAAAACCAACAGAGAAATCACACGGGGTTTACCTCAACTTGAAACGACAACAGAGATATCACACGGGGTTCAAGTCAACTTGAATAAACAAAAGAGACACCACACGAAATTTATGTCAACTTGAAACAAATACAAAAATATCACATGCGATTCAACGATTCAAGTAAAATTGAAACAACAACAGAGATATCACACAGGGTGCACGTCAACATGAAACAACAACATAGATATCACACGGGTTTACGTCAACTTAAAAACAACAATAGAAATATTAGACGGGGTTCACGACGACTTGAAACAACAATAGAGATAGCACACGATGCTCACAACGACTTGAAACAAAAATAGAGATATCACACGGGGTTCACATCAACTTGAAAAAACAATAGAGATACAAAATGAGGTTCACGTCAATTTAAAAACAACAATATAATTATCAGACGGGGTTCACAACGACTTGAAACAACAATAGAGATATCACACGGGGTTCACGTCAACTTGAAACAACAATAGAGATAACACATGGGGTTCACCTCAACTTAAAAACAACAATAGAAATTAGGGCTGTACCGAATATTCGCTTCGTATTCGCTTCGGGGCCGAATAGTGGACCTAATAACTATTCGGTAT